TCGGGATCGCCACTTTCGACTTCTTATTCTAGCCTACTTATTCTACATAATGCTGTTCCTATTCTGAGGATCTTCGGCTCCCCTGAGCCTCACCTAATTTTTGTATCTTACCTTTTTACCGTGTATGGATAAACGGGTATATAGGACGCGGCGTGCTACATACACATGTACTCACACACACACGCACCTACGCGCGGGGTACTCACTAGTCTAAATAAAATAACAATTAGGGTCGCGATAGGTGGGTTCTTACAACACTTCCTCGGATGAACGGTATCGTTGCGGCTAGACGAAGTAGTCAGTTTTCCATGACTGGGAGATGGTGTTCAATTTCGCATATCATTGAATGGCATTCGCTAGAGAGAAGCGCCTCACAAGCAATCTCTGGAAAGAGATGTCGCACATAAAGGGACGGATGGTGGGTGTTTATTGGTGATCTGCAGCTAAGAAGGAGTTAACTGCTTCTGGCATCTCTGTTTATCCCAGCAACATCTCGGTATTCTTGTTGATCATGGAAGTCAAGATGTAAAACATGAGAAGTAATGCAAAAATCTACGAACGATTCCCACTCTTGCCCGCATGCACAGTCCGGTCTGTGTTTACAGCTGAGGGATGAAACACAGGCTGCATCGTAAAATGTCTTTTTGTACATGACACTTAAGTCGAATCCTTCTACTCTACTATTCTACATTCGTCGAAAGAGAGGAATACGACTGCGGATCAGGAGTAGCAACGGTTTCGCGTTCAGTTACTGATTTCCTAGAGGGGCACAGACAAAGCGAAGCTTATTAAGCCTTATCGAACCAGCCATTGTAAATATTTTTTGGCCCTAATGCAAGTAAATAAATTATGCAAATTCCCAGTACCAGGAGTCGAAGGGAAACAGGAAAAATGTGAACTTTTGAGGAAAAAAGAACGAAATAGCAGTTGGAAGTTCACATTTTGCGACGTTAGTAAGCTGAATTTCAAAAAGCAGCTGGTGAAGTTATTAGGGAAACTGTGTGTAAAAAGTATGCCTAAGGCAGAAGAGAATCTGAGTGTTTCAGGTATTGATGTGGCAGCGTTGTCAAATTCAGGCGAAACACCACTGACGATAGCCAGAAGAACATCACCGAAAATCGCCGAAATGATAGATAACTATAGCAAAAGGCCATAACACAGCAGTTGCTCTATTTTTTTTTAAGGTTGGTTTTTTTTTCTCAGCCAAATTCGAACTTGCTCTTTGGTGTGTTTGTTTGGTTCGTTTGTTTTGTAATGCAGGATAATTTCTAGCAAATTCCTGTTTTTTTTGGTTCGAATGTACTGGCATGTAGCACTGCCTAGTTCTGATGTACTGGCTGGTCTGTGAATTCGATTTTGGCCGTGTAAAAGTAATTCCTTTTGATGAGAAATTGATAACAGCGCCTTCTGGAGGTCTCAGTTTTCATAAAAGAGGATTGTCGATAGTTTTTCCGGAGCTTACCTTGCATTTGACATGCAGCACCACTTGCACTACTTCCAGTTGCCTCTTCTTTCGATGAAGGATAAATTTCGAGAAAGAATAGGTGAAGGAGGAGGGGAAGAGCTTGGGTGGAAAACCTGAGTAAATGAGCCTTCATCTGTGGAAGGAAATTTGTCTACTTGCAGTGGTTACTGTGTGTGATAAAAGTTTTTTACGGGTGTCAGAGGTGGCGAATACTATCGCGACCCTAATTTTTAGCGTATTAGACTAGTGTGTGTCCCGTTTGTATGTGTGTGTAAAACGTCGCGTCC